AAAGTTCTACTAAATTATGACATACCATGGATTATTTAATACATGCCTATTTCAAGGATTTTAAAAGGTAAAAGAAAAGTTTGTCTTAGAATCGATGAATATAATAATTACTTTGTTAGCATAAAAGTAATGTATATTTGTTAAAAACCTAAAAAATGTTGAGTATTAGCTGAAACATGGTTGCAGGTAACAGAAAAGCTTGATTATGTAATAAAAATGCATATACCTGAAAATCCAGAGGAAGGACAGAGGTTAGAGTTGATTTAATTCAGGAACTAATGGCTATCACAACAGCAGTTTCTTTCCGTCTCCCTGCTATGTCTCCCATAGTGTCAGCCTTCTTGAGACAAGCTTCTTTCATGGTATCTGTTCCAGGTTTCCCATCTGCACCCCCTAGACTACAATGGAGAAAGAAGTTCTATCCTAGCATTCTAAGCAAAAAATCTTTTTTTTTTTTTTTTTTGAAATGAAGTCACGCTCTGGTCCCTTGGCTGGAGTGCAATGGTGCAATCTTGGCTCACTGCAACCTCCGCCTCCCCAGTTCAAGTGATTCTCCTGCCTCAGCCTTCTGAGTAGCTGGGATTACAGGCACCTGCCACCACACCGGCTAATTTTTGTATTTTTAGTAGAGACAGAGTCTCGAACTCCTGACCTCAGGTGATTCACCTGCCTTGGCCTCCCAAAGTGTTGGGATTACAGGCGTGACCCACTGCGCCAGGCCTCTAAGTAAAAATTCTAATATTCATCTGCTAAGGTCATCTAAGTCATCTCAGTTCACCTGATTTGTAACTGTTGCTAGGAAAGTGAAAAGGTACATGAAATGTATATGAACTGAACAGGGAAAACTGAAAAATGTTCTTATTACTAAAAAAAAAAAAAGGAATGTAAAAATGAATGCTTGAGAAGTGTGATGGTTAATTTTACTAGTTCACTTGGCTAGGCAGTGGTGCCCAGTTGTTTCGCTTCAGCACCACAGGCCAAACACACACACACACACAAGCGTATATACAAAGAGAGAGAGAGATTGATTTTTGACACACAAAGGCCAACAAAAATGTCCATTAAAACTTTGGGAGGCTGAGGCGGGTGGATCACCTGAGGTCAGAAGTTCGAGACCAGCCTGGCCAACATGGCAAAACCCCGTCTCTACAAAAACACAGAAATTAGCTGGGCATGAGGGTGCGTGTCTGTAGTCCCAGGTACTCAGGAGGCTGAGGCAGGAGAATCGCTTGAACCCAGAAGGTGGGGGTTGCAGTGAGCCGAGATCGTGAGATCGCGACACTACACTCCAGCCTGGGAGACAGAGTGAGATTCTGTAAAAAAAAAAAAAAAAAAAAAAAAAAAGGTCTATTAAAAATGGAAAAGTATAAAAGAAAAAATAGAAGTCCCCTATAATCAGGAATATCACCATTTTAAAATGTTTTCTTCAACTTTATCTATTTACTTACTTTTCTATGCATGAAAACATATGTGAACTTACTTTACTCAAATGACATCATACTGCATATATCAGATTCAAAACCTTGGAATCTTGTTTTTGTCCCGTAATATATTAAAGTGATCATTTTTCCATGCCCCTAAGTATCTTTAACCTAAATACCTAAATATATTTAACTGCTGATTTTTTTCAGCAGTTACCAAATAATCTATCACATAACTGAACTATAATCTGTTTAACTAGTTGACTATTTCCGGGCTTTTTGATGATTTCTTTTTCTTCTTTAAATACACAGTGCTCTCTCCTGATTTGAAAAAGCCAGTTAGACACTGTTTCTGGAATCTGAGGTCTCTAGAGGTCAGGATCAAAAGTGCTGCGCTTGGTTCCACTTCATGCAAGCTAGAGCTCATTATGAATAAAAGAGCATGTTGCTAACCTGGCCTTTAGCCAGAGTCTGACCTGGCATGAAAACATTTTGCTGTTCTGGAGATAATCACAAAGATCTGCAACCATCATAAAGGTTTCTGTGGCAGTGGTGTGGACTCCTGATCCCTGCTCCTATGTCATCATTGCTATTATAAACATGCATTTGTATTAAACTAACATAGTAATGTTTGTGACTTGTCTAAAATGTGTTTAATCTTATAAGATTCTTGTGAGAAAGAAAATCAACAAATAAAGGAGAAGAGGAGTATGAATATACCTGTTTGGTATCTCAGTAAGAATATATTTTGTATTCTATATTTATTCACACTCCCAGTTATGAGACAAAACTAAATGTGTGCTTGTGAGTGATGAAGAGAATGGATGTTCTTGGAGAACAAAGAAACACATGGTAGCATGTGAGTGTTTCTCCAAAGCACAGTCGACTTGGGAGTTTCAGGGCCCATCTCTCCCATCACTGCAGATGTGTTTCTCTATCCATTATCCTCATTTACAGAAGTCCTGATCCATATCCCCAGAGCCAACATACAGCTCACAGCAGCTAGATTTCCCTGAGACAATTAAGTGGCTTTTTTCTCAATTGCTCTTCCCAGAATTTAGATGGGAGAAAAACATTTTGTGAAATGTTAATACTCTAATGGCAAGAATTAATTTGTGGATGTGGTTAAATGCTATCTTAGCAATGCCTTGAAATGTAGCATATGATTAGCACTTCACTGGTACAGATAGTCATTGTCTTTAAGAAATTCATTTTAAGGTCTCTTGTTCTATTATCGTTATATACTATATTTTATGCCTTCCTTTTAAATTTCATTTGCCATATTCTAAAGATAACTATTTCTTACGAATGCTGCATTTTATTTTTCAGACTAATCTTAACTTTCCTACCTGTTGTTTGGAGACTCATATAAGATGTTTGCTGTCTTCAGGATGTCTGTTAGCTAAAAGAAGATAAAAAGGACATTTTCTCCTACATGCTGAACGACTGAAACTTGTATATGTGAAAGTTACTATCTTACAATAAATTTATACTACATTGTGTTTTTAAAAAATGGAGTCACTCCAGCCTAGCCAATATGGTGAAACCCTGTGTCTACTAAAAATACAAAAATTAGCTAGGCGTGGTGGCATGTGCCTGTACTCCCAGCTACTCAGGAGGCTGAGGCAGGAGAATCGCTTGAACCCAGGAGGTGGGGCTGCAGTGAGCCGAGATTGTGCCACTGCACTCCGGCCTGGGTGACAGAGTGAGACTCCATCTCAAAAAAAAAAAAAAAGAAAAAGAAAAATTGGAGTCACTAAATTACAGAGAAAAAATACAATGTGGTAAAGAAGATTTGGATTAAAACGACAGGAAAATAATTCAAATCAGGATATATTTATGAATCTATTCTGTTCTTTTATTTATGTATTCATTTGTTCATTCAAAAGTATTTATTTATCATCTGTCATATCTCAGACACAGTTCTATGCCCTGCAGACAGACCAGTAAACTAAAAGACAAGAATTCTTATCCTCTTGGGCCCCATATTCTAGTGGAGAAACAGATATTCCTACACTAAAATAAATTCCAATTTTATAAGGAAATCACAGCATAAGTGCTGGAAATATTAAATAATAAAATGCCACAAAACATAAGAAAATTCAAAATTTAAATAAATATATTTTTGGCATAAAACCATATTTATGAGATAAATATTACAAATAAAATTGTATGAAGCCTGAAATTTTACTGGTAAATTATCTGCAAGTGCTTAATAAGTATGAGATAAGGGAAAAACAAATACTTTTTCTTCTCTTACAAAGTTGACACTCTCACACTTTTGGTTACCAAAATGTTGGGGAGTGGGCTTCTCCACACACCAAGCAATTCTCCAACAGACACCAACTGGATATCCTACAATTTAACTCAATTCTCACACTACCTACCTAGAAATAGCATCAGATCGCACAGGTTAAGGGCTCACTTCGACAAAACTACCCCCAACTGGAAATGCCAATCACAAATCTAGGCCACCACAATTTCTGAACAACCATCTATAAACTGGGAGCTCCCACAACCCCCTCCTTGAGTTTGATTAATTTGGTAGAATGGTTCATAGAACTCAAGGAAACAGATTACTTCCATTTACCAGTTTATTACAAAGTATATTAGAAAGGATACAGATGGACAGCAAGATGGAAGTGATGCATAGGACAAGATATGTGGGAGGGGCGCAGAGCTCCCATGCCCTCTCTGAATGAACTATCCTCCCAGTACCTCCACGTGTTCAGCAGCCCGGAGTTCTCTGAACTATGCAGTTCAGGGATTTTTATGGACGCTTCATCACATAGGCATGACCAATTATTACCTCAATCTCCAGCCCCTCTCTCTTTCCTGGAGCATGAGGGAAGAGCTGAAAGTTCCAAGCTTCTAATCATAGCTTGGTCTTTCTGGTGACTAGCCTCCATCTAGGAGCCCACATTAGAGCAAGTTGCCTCATTAGAACAAAAAATATTCCTACCTCCCAGGAAACTCCAAGGGATTAGGACCTCTGTGTCAGGAGCCAGGGCCAAAGACCAAATATCAGCACAAAAGATGCACCTAGCACCACTATCGCTCAGGAAATTAAAAGGGTTTGAGGAATTCTGTGCCGGGAACCAAGGCACAGACCACATATATATTTCTTATTATATCACAATATGACAGTAAGAAATGTGTAGAAATGGCATGGCTTGAAAGGCATTGTCATAACTCAGCAAGAACATGCTTTGACAGGTTGTTCAATAACAATACGGAGAGGATGGAGTTAAAGAGGAATCGTGCTTTGGTTTTACAATGCTCATGGTTCCGTAAGAAGGAAAGGCAGAGTTAGGCGCAGTGGCTCACGCCTGTAATCCCAGCACTTTTGGAGGCCAAGGCAGGTGGATCACTTGAGGTCAGGAGTTCGAAACCAGCCTGGCCAACATAGGGAAACCGCATCTCTACTAAAAATAGAAAAATTAGCTGGGTGTGGTGGCGTGTGCCTGTAATCCCATCTACTTGGGAGGTTGAGGCAGAAGAATCATTTGAACCTGGGAGGTGGAGGTTGCAGTAAGTCAACATTGTGCCACTGTACTCCAGCCTGGGTGACAGAGTGAGACTCTGTCTCAAGAAAAAAGAAGGAAAGGCAGGATCAGAAAAATCATTATTTCTGTAGCACAATGAAAGAAAAGAAATGACCCATTTGCACAAGGTTTTAGGTGATGCAAGACAGACTATCTTACAATATACTGCAGTCTAGAGAACCCTTGAGGAATAACAAAATAGTAAACATGGAAAACCAGAAAAGAATGATATACTTTTAAAGAGGTCATTAGAGTGTAAAACTAGCCTAAATGTCCACTTAAAATTCTAACATTGTCTGCTTGGTAATGAGGTATTGCCATTACCATTATACAATGCAGTAGTTGATTCTTAATCATTTTCATTATAAATAATTATAAATGTTAAGCTGTTACATTAATTTGTCTTTAAAGGAAGGGCTATGTTTTAAGGTCAGCTGTTGTAGAAAGGGCTACAGATTGAGAAATTAAGGCTACTGCAAAATCCGTATCTTTAAGCTCTCCTGAGCTTAAGATTTTTATTTAAACCACCCATTAGACATCTTTCCAGAATCCCTTAAGGACCTCTGACTTGACATGTCCTAAAGTGAACTCAGTATCATGCTTGATATCCCATTTCACTGTCTCTAGTAACAGTTCTATCTACTTAGACTGGCTAGCTACAAACCTGGGAATAACCTCTCTCTCTCTCTCTCTCACACACACACACACACACACACAAATACACACACACTCCTACTGAAGATCACATGTTTGGTGATCTCTCCTCTCTATCATCATTATCACTGTTTTAGGCCAGGTCCTTATCAGTTTTCATCTGGATCATGATACTTGCCCTCTGGCTGATCTTCTGGACTCCAGTCTCTCATCATTTGTTTCATCCTGTGACTGAAGTCATCTTCCTAAAAACAAACCAGATCACAGACACCATTTCTCTAATACCTTTTTAGGTTTTCCTTCTGCCCATGCACCCCTATAAGTAAAATATTTATCTCAAATATACACATCCATTTGTAAATAGCATATATTATACAAGTACTGCATTAATGTATCATACACATAAGAAAACATAAAAATTGAAAAATTAAAGGATGAGATGCAGATGAAATAACCTCTATTTTATATGCCATTTATTTATTATTTTTGTTTTTTTTTTTTAAATAATGTTGTGCTCTGTTGTCCAGACTGGAGTGCAGTGGTGTGATCATAGCTCACTGCAGCTTCTAACTTCTGGACTCAAGCAATCCTCCTGTCTCCGCCTCCCTAATAGCTGGGCTGACAGGTGCATGCCACCATACCTAGCTAATTAATTTATTCCATTTATCACTGGTATATAAAAATATTTTGCCATTACTAAAATGTTGTTTAGTGAGAGTAATATGGTTGAATATTCTTCACATTTGTTGGAAATTTTTATTGTTATAAGGCAACTTACAAATATACTTATATTTAGTTTTTCTGGCTATCAGAGCTGCAGAACACACCTCACATAGAACCACATATATAAACAGAGGAAGCATTCATTGGATGAGCTTATGAAAGTATGATCTTCATTTTTCAAAGACCATCCACCAGTTTTGCAAGGACTTATGTTAAAATTTATTAACGTTTGAAATATTCATGTTATTTCAATCTTTTTAAGTCATTTGTCCATTCTGTGAGGCTTAGGTTAGTCAACCCAGATAATATAATACATAAATCCACTTCACCAAGTACACATAAATTGCTGATAAATGGTAATTTGCTTTAAGAATGAACAAGGTTCTTAAGGACACCTCTCAGTGCTGTGGATCCCAACCTTCCCTCAGAATTCTTTGCACGTAGCAGTCCCTCTGTCGGTCTGATATACGGACCAAATGAGAGTACCAATGTCAATCCATGTTACTTATTAGTAAAGCATAAATCCTTTCTCACATTTTTGGATAGATAGCCAAGTTTTAATACTTTCTTCCCACACCCCGGTATATCACTCACTAAGCCCTTGAGTGGTTCTCACCCCACTTTGGAGACCACTGGCCAACGTATTACATTCAAATATCTCAGCGGACATACAAGGACTTTCCCAGTCACCCCAAGCAATCTCTCCAATTCCTCAAAGCCTACTCATCAGCCACATTGAACATTTCATCATCCTCGAATCTGGTAATAGCTTTGTCTTTCACATTTGCTGTCTGGAATACTCTTACCCACACAAGCCTTATCCAAAACCATCTTCACCTAGTACACTCTTCGTCATCCTTCGAGACATGCACAAATTAGTGCACTTTGATGTTCTTTCTGCCTGCCCAGTGTTCTGGGCACTCAGTTCACACCTTTTAATGCCCCTTGAACCACACTATAGACACATCTGTCTTTCCCTATGTGGGAAACCCCTTGGAGCCAAAGACCATTTGGGTAGTCACAGAGCCTAACACAGAGACTTCCTAATAGAAAGCACCACAAAAAGTCTTCTGGATATTACAACTTAGAAAGATTGAAGCAATTTTAAATATAAAAAGCCAAAGAACGGCAAATATTTGTTGAAGAATTGAAGACCAAGAGAAAAAAGCTTCTGAGGAGAGTCAAGGAATCAATTCCCTGTTATTCTTACCCTGGCTGACCAATTCATAGATGGGATATAAGGCAGCTGCAAAGAAGATGCAACTGGCAAGGTTAGGTTTAATTAATCAAGAATAGCTTTTGATTCAAGAAAAACTGGCTACATCGTCTACCAGAAGATCCCATGATGAGATGATGGTGACCCCAGTGATCCCTAGAAAGCATTCGGGCATTGTACTCCATAGAGCTGCAACAGAAAACTAGAAATTCCATCTCTCAGCCTCAGAGACTGAGGGGGACTGAGAAGACAGCTTTACCGTCTAAGAGATAATTATTAATTAATAAATTAATTAAACACATTGTCTTCAAAATGTATAGAACTGATTACCTTCAGCTACACCTGCTCCAAGCAGCATATTTTAAAAAATTCAACTTATTTCTTTGCATGTGAGTTTATTTTCAGTGTGACATAAAATCATAAACATTTCTATCACACAGCGGCTTTGCATAAGCAAAGGTAACAATTTTTCTCCTTTTGATGTACATTAAACATAGCTTATAATATACACCCAAATATATATAATATAATAATTTTGTTTTTCCATTCTATGCTATCTTATGCAGGCAGCAGTTTTTGCCAGTGGTCATAGTTAGAAATTAGGACATGGATGAGTCATTTAAGCTTTCTCCCGAACTTCACTTATAAAATGATGACACTTTTTAGCTAACTCACAAATACTCCTAAGAGCCCATAGAGTTCTTTGAAGGTGGTATTATTTTTTATTGCAATACTTACTCCATGAATAAACGCTAGAGTCATCATAAAGCAGTGATCCCTGCAAGCTGTCATTTCATGCCACCTTTGCTACTCATCTTAATAAACACTATCATATCTTGGTAATGAACACTTCCATCTCAGTTTCACAGGGTATTGCCGATATATTTATAAGTAGTTCACTGTAGCATATTTCTTGATTTATATTTAAAGCAACTTACAACTTAGCAAGGACTCAGAGGCAAAAATTAATTATATAAAATTAAAATAATTTTAGTAAACACCTTAAAACATTAATTGATAAACTCTGCCTCTCCTTAGTCCCTTGTGCTAGACATCTTTGGAAATGTGTGATTGAAACTCTCAGAATATCAGCTTTGGAAAGATGCTCATATTATAGAAAAATATTTAATTGGTAGCAGTCTTATAAAGAAGTAAATGTTTTAAAAGGAGAGTAGATGTCACTGATGGATGTGGGCAAAGACAAATAAAATTGTTGAGATCAAGAACATTATTCAGTGACCAGAAACACATTACAATACCTTATGTCTGCATAGCACTTTAGAGTTTACAGCATCCATCAGTCCTTTATCTCTTTTAAGCACATGAAGCGCAGGGAGATGCAGGAAGGAAGTTTAGTTGACGTAATCTCTGCCCTTTGGAGAAAGAAACCCAAAACTTATTGAAAACCATGACTTTATTTTTCTCACATTGATATCCATGTTTTTTCCCTTTATTTATGAACTGAATTTTATTCACAAAGCTTTATTTCAACATTCCCATGAACGTGACAAGAAAATTATTTGGCAATGCATAATCAGATAATCATGGGAAAAACATAGGACAATTTGACACCACTAAAATATTTCATTTTTTATACACAAACCTTCACTCCTCAAGGAGCGAATGACCAACAATGCCATCAAAATTAGCAAATTTATTTGTGTTAATGTAACCTTACTTACCTAATGGTTGGTGTGTGCCCTAGGGTATCATCAAGATAGATGATCTTTGCCGAACGCTGTGTCACAGAAGAGTTTGGATGATAAAACTCCACTCTTACCTGGAGTAGACTAACCTTGGCTAAATCATAAGATAACCCTGACAGGCAGAGAGAGAGAATTTGTCACCTTTAAGTGTTTTTCTACATGATATTTTATAATGATAACAACAACATTAATGTTTCCCAAAGACTTTACAAGTAACTGAGTACCTTCCTTGAACTGGTAACCTATGGCTTATCCACTGTTATAGCTAGACTATTTCAGTCTAACTTTATCCCCAACCCTCCTAGGTGAAATGGATCCCTGTGGCAGCCATTACTCACAGTCACCAAGATTCCTACTTTCTAGGAATCTTGGTGATTCCTAGAAACATAAACATAGCCCTTAAAGTTAGGTAATGACCATGTAACTTTCCTTGACCAGAGAAATGTGAGAGGTGACCTATATCACTTCTGGGTGAAAGCACTTGAGGTTTGGTGCATAGTCCCCTGCATCCTTCCTCTGCCATGGTGCTCAGGGAAATTCACAGGAATGAAGCAGGCTAGAACAATGAGTCACTGTGATAGCAGCACTGGAAATTTTGCATGAGGAGGAAATTTACTTTTGTTGTATTAAGCCACTGAGATTTTGATGGCATTTGTTACAGCAATATAATTTAGCCTACCCTAACTGACACAATCTCTCACTAGCTCGGTCACCATTTATGTAGCATCCCACAACTGCATATGTGACTGTTACACCAGTAGGTGGTATATACATATACATGAGTTGACACCAGTCACTGTTGAGAGCAGTATCTCAAAGAAATACCTGGGAACAGCAGGAAGGTAGTTGGGATAAATCACACTGGGTTCCACACCCTTGCCATGTCCCTGGATTAGCACTGAGGGCTTTCCAATGTAAACAATCATCTTGATTTATCATCAAGGAGGTATCAGTTTTATGGGAGGAGAAAGGGGTTTAATTTAGAACACACTAAAATCTAGTGGGCAGCCACATTGATCAATGGAATAGAATAGAGAACATAGAAATAAAGCAACAGATTTATAGCCAACTGATCTTTGACAAAGCTGACAAGAACTTGCACTGGGAAAGGACATCCTCTTAAATTAATGGTGCTGAGAAAATGGAATAGCCATATTCAGAAGAGTGAAACTGGACCCCCTATCTCTCAACATATACAAAAATCAACTAAAAATGGATTAGAAACTTAAAGGTAAGACCCCAAACTACAAAAATACTAGAAGAAAATTAGGAAAAACTCTCCTGGACATTGGTCTAGGTAAAGAATTTATAACTAAGATCTCAATAACACAGACAACAAAAACAAAAATAGACAAATGTAATTTAATTAAGCTAAAAAAAATTCTGCACAGCAAAAGAAATAACAGAATGAAAAGACAACCTGTTGAATGAGAGAAAATATTTGCAAAATATTCATTTTACAGGGGACTAATATCTAGAATACATAAGGAACTCAAACAACTCAACCGGAAAAAAAAAACTAAACCCATCAAAAAGTGGGCAAAGGACATGAGTAGACCTTTTTCAAAATAAGACTACAAATAGCCAACAGGTTTAAGGAAAAAAATGTACAACATTATTAATAATCAAAGAAACTCAAATCAAAACCACAATGAGATATCATCTATCATACCCCAGTCAGAATGGCTATTATTAAAGAGACAAAAAAATAGCAAATGCTGGCTGGGATGTGCAGAAGAGAACTCTTTAATACACTGTTAGTGGGAATATAAAGTTGTATAGCCACTATATAAAACAGCATGGCAATTTCTCAAGAAAACTATAAATAGAATTACCATTTGATCCAGCAGTCCTACTATTGGGCATCTACCCAAAGGAAAATAAATCAATATATCAAAGAGATACCTGAACTGCCATGTTTATTGCAGCACTATTCACAACTTCAAAGATATGGAATCAACATAAGTATCTATCAACAGATGAAAAGATAAAGAAAATGTAGTGTATATACAGAATGAAATATGATTCATCCATTAAAAATAATGAAACTGTGTTATTTGCAGCAACATGGATGAAACTGGAGATTATCATAAGTGAAATAAGCCAAGCACAAAATGATGTAGTATGTTCTCACATATTGTGGAAAGTAAGAAATCTGAACACATGGAATTAGAGAGTGGAAATACAAAGAAACTGAGTAAGGTGAGTGGATTGAGGGGGAGGAGGATGAAGAGAAGTGAGTTAAAGTGTACAAAAATATAGTAAGATAAAAAGAGGTAATTTAATGTGTGCTAGAGAATAAGATGACTATACTTAAAAATATATGTATATACACATATTATACTCAGGTGATAGACACCGTAAATACCCTGACTTGATCACTATGCATTATATACATGTGAAAATCTTTCAGGTACCCCATATATTTACATAAATAAAAATAGAGTTCAAGTGGAAAAATAAATAAATTTTTAAAAGCCCATGGAAATGGAAATTCCTAACAAGTAAGGGAAAGGCAGAAATAAGGCTTGCAAATGGGTTAAGAATGTGGGTACAGATTCAGAAGTAATCCACACACACTTGAAAGATGAACTGAAGACACACATAAAATTTCTAAGGAAAATGGCAGAGTGGGAAAAAAGACAAGAAATGAGTCTGAGGAAACACTATTGGAGGACAGAGAGAGGAGAAGCAGCAAGGAAGGAAGATATGAGAACTATGATGACAACAGCCATTCATTTTCAGAGCTAAGAATACCAAATCTTCATTAATAAATTCATTTAAATTTAAATTTCAAGGTTTTTAATGAAGATAAAAAATGTACTAAACCTTAACAATCCATGTACTGTCTCAGATATTAAAATAGATTACCCACGTGACAGGCAACTGGACATTATCTGTAATAGAAAGCAAAATGATTTTTAATTCAATGTCTCAGAACTAATTTATCATGATTTAAAGAAGCAGAACTTTTTGAACACATATTCTGTTCCACATTATAGTCATTTATTTATTCGCCAAACATATCCTATACATCCGGCACATACTAGGCACTGCAGGGCACAGTCCTCGTTCTTGGGCTGCCTACCTCACTCTCGTGCCCATTTCACACATTGCTTCCCCTGCAGCCATGCTGCACCTGGTGCCAGCTTTCCCCCTGCAAGGATGACCTCCACAGTGAATCAGCTAGCATTTTCTGAACCCTAGCTATGTGTGCCAGGTACTACACTAAGTGCCTTATACGGACTTTCTCACTTAATCTTCAAGACAACCCTATGAGGTGGAAATTAGTATCATCCCTATTTTACAGCATGTGAGGTTTAAATGTTGAGAAACTTGCCTAAGGTCATACAGCTTGCAGGTGGTGTAGTCAAGACTCAAAATAGACTGGCTAATGCCAAAGCGGCGATCAACACCTCTCTACTGAAAACGTGGTCCTCAAACTAGCAGCAATGCCATTACCTGGGAGTTTGCTAGAAATGCAGAATCTCAGGCCCAACTCCAGACACGCTCAAATTTGGCTTCAACAATATCCCCAGGTGATCCCTCTTAAAATTTGAGAAGCACCGTGCTAAATCACTCCACTATGAAGACTTGGCTTTAATGAACGCTGGGGGAGATACAGACAATCTTTCCCTCTGAGTAGCAATTTGTAGGGCGCGGGAGGGAAGGTATATAATGTGTTTTCCAAGAGCTAACAGGATTCAGACAAATCCTTGCTGTTTCAAACACTAGAGATCACTGCGACCAGCGCGGGTCGGGACCACTTCCAAAAGCAGCAGATCTTGAGCTGGATCTTGAAGCCAGAACATGTTCTCATTTCATTAAAAATAGCTGCTGTTCCAAATGGACAAGCAGTAAACTTCTGGAGTTCGCTTCTCCAGCCTGCACTCCACTTTCCAAATAGAACCCAAATATCAACAGCATCAACAAGCAGATTTTAAACCCCAATAAAACATGCTATTATTAAATTGTTAGTTGTATTAGAATTGCCTAGTTTAATTAGTAATATTCATGACAAAACTAGTTTGCCCCTTATTATCAATCTTGCTCCAGGTAGAAGTACAAACACTTGGTGTAAAAAGCAGATGCTCCCCGGTTGGTGTGCAAGCCCCTGTTTGCAGGTACTTAATTCAGGGTGTGGCAGCGCCTTTTCAAGCCCCCTCTGCAAGCCGCGCCTCCTCCCTCTCCAGGCCTCCTCCCTCTCGAGTGGGGTCAAACTACTTAGTTTATTTCACCCGCTGGCACTTTCTTCCCTGTCACGAATTCATCCTGTCTTCCTTTGGCCTGAGACAGCGTCTTCAGGCGGGTCGGCTCGGACCTGTGCAGCGGGGCGCCCACCTCCACCTGCACCCGCACCCGCACCCGCACCCCCGGGAAGGGGCGGCGCTGGCCGGGCTCTCTCGGGTGGACTCGCGGAGCGGCGGCGGCGGCGGCAGACTGCGAGTCACGTGCGACAGAGGGGGCGGAGCGCGGCCGGCCGGGTGGGTGGAGAAAACAAAGCCCCCAGCTGTCAGCAGAGGAAGGAGGCGACAGCGCCGGAGCAGGTGAGTCAAGTGCATTTAAAGCGGTACCGCCCTGGCTCACCCCGACACCCCCTGCCCTGGAGCAGTCCCTCCCAGGCCAGGGGCTGGCCGCCCCTCCTCCTGCCGCTGAGTTCTGCAGCCCACGGGGCTCCGAGCAAGCGGAACAGGGGGTCCAGAGTCCAGCAAGAAGTTGTGCAGGGGTCGGCTAGGCGGTCTCGGTGTGCACCCCGCCGCGCTCCCGCGTGTCGCATCTCTGGTTTGGGGCCCCAGCTCTGTGCACCCCAGAAAAGGGGAGGGAGGGAGTTGGGGCTGCCACGCTGGCAGAAGCGAAGTGGACTGGTTCTGAGGGGTGAGGCTGGGGCTGTCCAGGGTAGGAAGACGGCGTTGGTGAAGGAGGGGGGCTCGTGATTGCGCGACCGCGGCGCAAGATCCTCCAGGCTCTAGCTGGGAGCCGGGACTGAGAGAGCTGGGGGCGCTGGCAGGGGCTGCGCGCTTGGGGACAGATCAGGAAGTGTAGCGCGCTGGCGCTCGCCCGCCTGGGAGCATCCCCCGGACCCCGGGCACTTCCCCTTCGGCAGCCACCACTCTCCCACTCCGACACCGGCCACCATCCGCGCTCCCGGGACTCAGGAGCCGGGTGGGCGCAAAAGGAAGCGGGTTGTTATTCTGCGCTCAAGCGGCTCTTCTGCAGGGAGCACGGGAGCGCAGGGCGAGGGCTACTCAGCGACTTCGCACTCCGCTCAGTGGGAAATTCTTCGGTCTACACTTAGAAGGGCTATGCCGAAGCCAGAAATCCCACAAAGAGCCGGGAGAGGGGTGGACGCGGAAAGCCGTCCCCTCTGAACCTGGGGTGCTCGATAAAACTGACTTTCAGACCCCAAAAGGGCTAGTGGGTTTGGTCACTCCTCCAGTGACTTAGTCAATCCAGTGCCGAGGGCAGAGCCGTAACCTCGGAGAAGGGGCGCTGCAGCCATTTGATCAGGAGAAGCCTTTGTCTTAACCCCCAGGCCCCTCCTGCTAGTCCTCGCAGGGTCAGTAGCGCGGGGAGTAATTAATATTCCGAACGTTTGCCGTTCCTTCACCTCCGCACCAGCCAACACTGCTGTCCCCTCCCTGAGTGTCTTCTCTATCACTTGTTCACATCTCCTTTTCCAAAAAAAGAAGAACAAAAGGAAAATAATGTAGACCCGCTAGGCAGGAAGAGGTCACTAAAAACACTATCGTGCTGTCAATGTAGAATCAAGGGTTAAGCGCTCAAACCCGCGCCAGCGCTCACCGAAACGGAAGAACTTCCTTGATTAGCATAGTATCGACCTTGGGGCCGCGCTGCGAGGCGGAGGTTCGGTCCCAGCTGGGGTGAAGTGTGCAGACCGGTCGCAATTGTGGTCAGACGCAGCACCTACTTCTAATCTGAGGACCTGCAATTTACACCTTTGCTGAACAGGACACTGTGGAATGAAACAGAACAGAGATCAAAAGGTAATCTGAAGAACGGCAGCATTTCCCCTGCTTCTCTTGAACGCTAAATTTGGCCAAATTTTTATCAAGCAAAAGGGGTATGGTTCTTGGTTAGCCTGTGTCCCCTCTGGAAATGAAATGCTTCCTTACTTTGCTTTCGTTCTTTTCTGCCAAACTGATTAAAGACATCAGTTAGGGGTAAGATAAGAGGTCTGGGAGCTCACCAAGTGATTGGTAG